GCAACAGATCTCCGAGACTTGAAAATTATTTTAAGGATTCCTATTGAGTAAAAAGGTTGAAAAGGCTACTATAGACCTTAAAGAATATGTAAAACCAACATTTCATATTCCTGATATGTGCCTGCTGTACCATGTACTTGTATGGAAAAGCTGATATTATCCTCCACCCCGAAATACAGTACACATACAGTATAGCTGGTTCTACATTGTACATGAGGAGGTCAAAAAGGGGGAGGCAGCACAACCAGCAAAAAGGAGCAGATTCTTGACACCTGTCTTCTAGTAAAAAGAAGGTCCTACACACAACAAGCTTATTAGAGCCTTACAGTGGGGATCGAAAGTTTGGGCACCCCAGCTAAAAATTTGTATTAATGTGCATAATGAAAAAGCTGAAGTTAAAGAGGAGGATGGCTTCTACAAATGGATAATGATCCTAAACACACCTCGAAATCCACGGGGGATTACATCAAGAGGCGTAAACTGAAGGTTTTGCCATGGCCTTCACAATCTCCTGACCTCAACATAATTGAAAATCTATGGATAGACCTTAAAAGAGCAGTGCGTGACAGACAGCCCAGAAATCTCAAAGAACTGGAAGACTTTTGTAAGGAAGAATGGGCAAAGATACCTCAAACAAGAATTGAAAGACTCTTGGCTGGCTACAAAAACTTTTACAAGCTGTGATACTAGCCAAAGGGGGCAGTACAAGATATTAACTCTGCAGGGTGCCCAAACTTTTGCATATGCCATTTTTTTGTTTTCTGTTATTTTGAAAGTGTAAATGATGGAAATAAAATCTAACTTTTGTTGACATATTATAAGAATGTCTAATCTGTAATTTGATGCCTTTTGGAGATTTTTCCATCTTTCCTTGGCTTCTTTATGCACATTAATACAAATTTTTAGCTGGGGTGCCCAAACTTTCGATCCCCACTGTACAATAGAACAAGGGAGCTACCAAAAGACAAAAAAAGCCCACAAGACCAAAGTTCCAGAAACTTACCCTGCCATTTTTTTTGCCACCCATATTATCTTCTAACACAATTAAAATGCGTTGATCATTCCCTTTTCACATCATGACATCACATCATGACATTTGTAACAAGCCAGTAACTCAGTAAAGTCCTAAGATAATAGGCAATTTTATTGGCACATGCAGATAAAAACCAGCCTGAACAGCAAGCCTATGCATTTCAGCCATTAGGTCTTAATAAAGACTTTACCGAGATGCCTGCTTGTTCATATTGAAAGATTCCTAATGAAAGGGATAACAGAGGCCACAGCCTGAGCACCGATGTCTCTTATTAACCTGTTATAAGGATAAAGGAGGTTGAGCACAGCTTTTCATTCTGATTTTGAAAAATTAAATTTAACCAATTCACATATTTTCATTTTAGTAGCCATTATAGTATAAAACTTAGCTTTGTTCATGTATTTCTAAAACGTGTAGGACTAAAAAAACTATAGCATTCCCCAACAAGTAGGGCATGCTTCTAATATTTATTATTAGAACATGACAAACTTTCTTTCTCAAGTATATATAACACACATTTGTTTAGCAAACAAATAATGGGCCATAAACACACAATAACTGAGGTAAAATAAATGTTTAGACCCCGTAGTTAGGACACCCAAATCCCAGTAGTCCAAAATCCATAATCATGAGTCCAGCCATCGCATGGAGAGTGCAGACAAGTGAAGAGCAATGCATTAATCCTTCAAACACTAACAGACCATGGCAAGGACTTAGGCTTGGAATGTATTTACAAAGTGACAAATTACATTTTGTATTAAACGGAGAGAGGAAACACATCTACAAATAGGCTGATAAAAATATCAACTGCAGTCACGACAAACGTTTTATTTGTACTTTGCTAAAACCACAACTTTTTTTTCTTTGTTTCGGTATTATTTTTGTACTTTTTTCACAAAGGGAGGACTAAAATGTAAAAATAAAAAAAAAATAATACACATGAGAATTAAATGGGTTGACGACCACTGATGTTCCTGGGCAAATTGCCCTTTTGGATGCCGTAAGGGGAAAAAAAAAAATCTTTAAAATACTGCATAATAAAAATGCAAGCAAACAACTCATAAATTAGCATTAAAACAGTATCTCATAATTAAATGTTGCCCTAGTTCATCTGCTATTCAGGCAATAAAAACAGACACTTGCAGTGATATCATCAGCGGGAGAAAAGGCCTCAAACAAAACATTACAGAAAATATCTAACATGGTATAAAAATGGCAATCACAGATGCAAAGTAAAAAGACTTTTTTTTTTTTCAATTTTTAAAGCTCCACTCCAGAAAAGAAAAGTCCCAACGTCACTCCATTGCACTCTCTCTTAGCTATTCACTCTCTATTACTTACCTACAGTTGGGCTCAAAAGTTTGCATACCCTTGGAGAATTGATAATATACAGCAGACTTTTTCAATCAGGGTGCCCAGGCACCCTGAGATGCCTTCAGGCTTCTTCAGGGATGCCTAGAAATTTCCCAAAAATTGTAATCAAGCCTGTCTTTTAGTTACACAGACCGGAGCCCTCAGGGCGCGGAGTCTAAGCCCCAGGCTGCCCTTCACCAGGGCCCCTGATGGTGGGGATGGACTTGACACAGCCAGGAACCAGGTCGCGGCCCCCGTGAAACCCCAGCTGCGGTAATGGCCGCCGCCAATGGCATATAGCTGGTAGGAACCAGATAAGAACGATAGCGTAGTCGGACAGGCCGGGTCGATAACAGCAGGACAGACAGTACGGAACGGTAGACAAGAATACACGGTCACAAGCCGGGTTCAGCAACGGGAGGTCAGATAAAGGGATAAGGCTGAGAATAGTCTTAGACAAAGCCGAGTCAGTTTCCAGGAAAGCCACGAGAGTAGAATAAGAGCTTGCAACAACACTATCAAACAGGACACGAATGCAAAGAGCAAGTGCAGACAACAGGCTTAAATGTGCTCAACCACACCCCTCTGGGGGATGGACCACAGAGGCCTGAAAGCATAAAAGGCTCCCACCATGCTTTGCAGAAACCCAAGATGGATGCCAGCACATGGAGCAGCATAACCTCTGGGAAAAGGTAGGACCTTGACAGAAATTATGCTTTTCTTTAAATCAGTGGTTCTCAACCTTTCTAGCGCCGCGACCCCTTAATACAGTTCCTCATGTTGTGGTGACCCCCAACCATAAAATTATTTTCGTTGCTACTTCATAACTGTAATTTTGCAGTAGGAGGAATAGTGCCACGTCATTGGTGTCATTGGGAGGAATAGTGCCCCATCATTGGTGTCAGTGGGAGGAATAGTGCCCCGTCATTGGTGTCAGTGGGAGGAATAGTGCCACGTCATTGGTGTCATTGGGAGGAATAGTGCCCCATCATTGGTATCAGTGGGAGGAATAGTGCCCCGTCATTGGTGTCAGTGGGAGGAATAGTGCCCCCTTCATTGGTGTCAGTGGGAGGAATCGTGCCCCGTCATTGGTGTCAGTGGGAGGAATAGTGCCCCGTCATTGGTGTCAGTGGGAGGAATAGTGCTCCCGTCATCGGTGTCAGTGGGAGGAATAGTGCCCCATCATCAGTGTCAGTGGGAGGAATAGTGCCCCATCATCGGTGTCAGTGGGAGGAATAGTGCCTCATCATCGGTATCAGTGGGAGGAATAGTGTCCCATCATCGGTATCAGTGGGAGGAGGAATAGTGCCCCATCATAGGTGTCAGTGGGAGGAGGAATAGTGCCCCATCATTGGTGTCAGTGGGGGGAGGAATAGTGCCCCATCATTGGTGTCAGTGGGGGGAATAGTGCCCCATCATAGGTGTCAGTGGGAGGAATAGTGCCTCATCATTGGTATCAGTGGGAGGAATAGTGCCCCATCATTGGTATCAGTGGGAGGAATAGTGCCCCATCATTGGTATCAGTGGGAGGAATAGTGCCCCATCATTGGTATCAGTGGGAGGAATAGTGCCCCATCATTGGTGTCAGTGGGAGGAATAGTGCCCCGTCATTGGTATCAGTGGGAGGAGGAATAGTGCCCCATCATTGGTATCAGTGGGAGGAATAGTGCCCCATCATTGGTGTCAGTGGGAGGAATAGTGCCCCGTCATTGGTATCAGTGGGAGGAATAGTGCCCCGTCATTGGTATCAGTGGGAGGAATAGTGCCCCGTCATTGGTGTCAGTGGGAGGAATAGTGCCTCGTCATCGGTGTCAGTGGGAGGAATAGTGCCTCGTCATCGGTATCAGTGTGAGGAATAGTGCCCCATCATCGGTGTCAGTGGGAGGAATAGTGCCCCATCATCGGTGTCAGTGGGAGGAATAGTGCCCCTTCATTGGTATCAGTGGGAGGAATAGTGCCCCATCATTGCTGTCAGTGGGAGGAATAGTGCCCCGTCATTGGTATCAGTGGGAGGAATAGTGCCCCGTCATTGGTATCAGTGGGAGGAATAGTGCCCCGTCATTGGTGTCAGTGGGAGGAATAGTGCCTCGTCATCGGTGTCAGTGGGAGGAATAGTGCCCCGTCATCGGTATCAGTGGGAGGAATAGTGCCCCATCATCGGTATCAGTGGGAGGAGGAATAGTGCCCCATCATCGGTATCAGTGGGAGGAATAGTGCCCCATCATCGGTATCAGTGGGAGGAATAGTGCCCCATCATCGGTGTCAGTGGGAGGAATAGTGCCCCATCATCGGTGTCAGTGGGGGAGGAATAGTGCCTCATCATTGGTATCAGTGGGGGGGAGGAATAGTGCCCCATCATTGGTATCAGTGGGAGGAATAGTGCCCCATCATTGCTGTCAGTGGGAGGAATAGTGCCCCATCATTGGTGTCAGTGGGAGGAGGAATAGTGCCCCATCATTGGTGTCAGTGGGGGGAGGAATAGTGCCCCATCATAGTGTCAGTGGGGGGAATAGTGCCCCATCATTGGTGTCAGTGGGGGGAAATAGTGCCCCATCATAGGTGTCAGTGGGGGGAAATAGTGCCCCATCATAGGTGTCAGTGGGGGGAGGAATAGTGCCCCATCCTTGGTGTCAGTGGGGGGAGGAATAGTGCCCCATCCTTGGTGTCAGTGGGGGGAGGAATAGTGCCCCATCCTTGGTGTCAGTGGGGGGAGGAATTGTGCCCCATCGTTGGTGTCAGTGGGGGGAGGAATTGTGCCCCATCCTTGGTGTCAGTGGGGGAGGAATAGTGCCCCATCGTTGGTGTCATTTGGGGGAGGAATAGTGCCCCATCGTTGGTGTCAGTGGGAGGAATAGTGCCCCATCGTTGGTGTCAGTGGGAGGAATAGTGTCCCATCGTTGGTGTCAGTGGGAGGAATAGTGCCCCATCATTGGTATTAGTGACACCAATGATGGGGCACTATTCCCACTGACACCAATGATACTTACCTTGCAGACCCCTGCTCCAGCCTGGGCTCGCTCGCTCCCTCCCTCTCCCATGTACCGACACTTACCTGTCAGATGTCTTCCTTCTCCGGCCGCTCTCCTCCTCTTCTCTCGCTCGATCTTCGCGGTGCCGCTCGGCTCCTCCTCTCCAAGCTCCACCTCCTTGCCGGTGATTGGCCGCCTGTGTGCCTCTCCTGAGCTACAGTGCCTGCGGCCAATCACAGGCGAGGATTGATCTCGAGGTGTGTCCAGATGACAGGGGCGGCATGTCATCCCGCCCCGCCACACCTGGAGACGGCGGTGGCGGCGGCGGCGAGGAGCGAGTGTCTCTGTTCCTAAGACCATCGGAAATATGTGTTTTCCGATGGTCTTAGGCGACCCCTGTGGAAGCGTCGTTCGACCCCCAAAGGGGTCGCGACCCCCAGGTTGAGAACCGCTGCTTTAAATAAAATGCAGGGATCAGTTAAGGACAGGTGGAATGGGTAAGCAAAAGGTTTTATTTTGTATTATTTAAATTGGAGATGAGCTTTAGAGTTAAAAATTTACAGATGATCCCATGCTTATACAGTAAGAATTATGTTATCCCAGGTTCAAATGGATGGACTAGTATATCTTATTCAACTTAACCAACTATGTAACTATGTGCCCTAATCCTAATATAAGCCAGGTCACATAACTGTGTATGCAACAAACTCTGTTCTTAGAAGAGAGGACTGGATGAAAAAAATTAATGTAAACAGCTGGTAATGCTCAGGTGGCTCACCATACAGGCATTAATTGCCTAGGTTTTTTGATTGAACTTTGAAGACATGTGTTTTCTTTCCACATGACATACAGAATGAAAGTATGTATTGCCATTGCAGAGCTGGCTGCACAGAAAGTCTGGATTACTTTGATTCCACACGAAAAAAAGGATGAGGAAGGTAAAAAATAAATTAGAGATGGTGTATGTACCAGTGGTTTAGCCCCAATGTATCATTTGGCAAATAAAGGCATATCTAGAATCACTAGTTATACCCTTCCATTCCAGTTTCAAAACTGTACTAGAAAAAAAGCAATTGTGATGCTTTGATTACAACAGGCATTTCATCTTCCAGGCTCTCTGCTGAACCTATGGCAAGTGCACATTTATTTCAGGCATAAAGTGACAATGCGTGTGTTTATTTGTAAGGAACTCCCGGAGGCTTCTGTTTTCTGAGGCACTCCAAAACAAGGCAGTGTCATAGAATAAGACCGCTATTAAAAATGCAGCCAATAGAAAGTAAGACAAAAGAGTTTATTAAAGGTCTGAACTGTGAGTCCTACAGCACTGAATCTTGCTAGGACTGGAGGAAAATATTGATGTGCTGGAGAATGTATACACAGGTTAAACCCCAAAATGTCCTAATGCAAGCAGCACTAACGCACAGTTCTAAACTATAAAATGACTTGTTAGCCTGGTCAAAAGCCTGGTTGCACTACGTCCTAAACTTAATGACTGCGAAGGGTGTCATATATGGCCAACAGTGAAGCTCAGAAGGTCAGAGTGGTGGTGCCAGGATATTTGCATGAAGAAGCTTGATGAAATTGCCACACAAGAGCTCCTGATAGATAATAGACCTACAGGAATCAATGGAACTACTAAAATGCATGAACCTACTAAGATATACCTCTGCTGTTTGCTATTATACATGACATGTATGCAAGCAGCACTTTAACATGTGCAATTTTAGGTTCCCCTTAAACCTATAAGAAGGTAAGTGTAAGAGAGACAAAAAGATGAGTGTCTTGCAACTAGCTCAATTCCACCAGAAATTTTTTGTTCAACTTGCTGTATTCTCTAGCAATTGCAACATACATATCCTTAGTCAAATAAAATGCATGTACATGGAGCACCTTACAGTTTCTTTCTATCACAGGGAGGAGAAGGCTCATGATATGTGGTATCCGTGGTCAATGTTTTTCTATTCTACTGCTTATCAAGAGCTGCTGTACCAACAGGGATTCTAGGGTCTAGAGAGCTATGGCATGACTGATAGTTCTGGAGCCCATAACCACTTCTGGGTTCCTTCCCGCTAGTCACAACCCCCCCCCCCTTTTTTTTTCTTCTCTTTCTCTTACCATTTAGTTGTCCTGTCATACCCACTGTAAAACAAAATATAAAAAGAAAAACCCTTCTTGAAAGGCAGGGGGTCAGGTCCCTGCCAGACAGCTAACTTGGGAGTCTTACTTACTGTTGTTGAGGTACATTTGCATTCTCTGAGAAGTCTGCCCTACTATTGTGATTACGACTGTTTAGGTAGTTTGTTAATCCTTGTCTTTCCTAAATAAATAAATTTTCCTAAAACTCAAACATATGGCATTAGCATCAATTGTAAAAAGCCAAGCTCGCTGCATTTTTGCACATTGACCTGCATTCTTAAATTCAGCTTTTTGTATAGAGTCGTTCATAATGTGCCCAAAATATATGTGTATCTGGTAAGCACATATAGCAACTTAACATGTCCAAGAAAATGCAATCTCTTAAACATATGTAAGAGCTCAGATTTGTAATGAGCTGCCTGGGACAACTGAGGTTGCTAAGGATCATTTTTGGTCTTCTGATTGTGTTCTCTTACTAAAAGCCATTTCAATAAGTTTGTAATAATTTCTTCTTTCCACCTAATTCCTTAATTTTTTTCTACACCCTTGTTCTTCTATGTGTAAGTCATATGGTATTCAAGGAGAAGAGGACACACAAGAAATTATTCAGGGTGTCAAACCTAAAACTTCATAGTACCTGCAGAAAAAAGGTAGGAATAATTATACAGGGTAATTGCTGATTGTATTTACAGCTTTCAGCAACTCAAAATATTAAAGAAAATATGCCATTTGCCTGGTTGTCATGCAGGTTCCTTGGCTTTAACATTTCCTGATTCACTGATTTGGAAAACGTTTGCAACAAGTTAATTCAGAATTCCAGCTATTTATAATTGCCCCAGGTAAGTGACTCAGTGGGGGAGATTTACTGGTGCGCTCAGAATTTGGTGCAGCTGTGCATGGTAGCCAATCAGCTTCTAACTTCAGCTTGTTCAATCAAGCTTTGACAATAAAACCTGAATTGCAGTTTTAATAAATAAACCCCATTTTTTTAAAGCAGAATTCTGGGGAAAAGAAAAATTGTCCCCTTCAGCAGTGCTCCCTTGACACTGCAAGGGTTAGGTGCTCTTTATGCCTAGGGTATCAGTGAATGGGACTTTTATTTATCTATTCCCTCCCTCCCCCAGCAACCAATGCACTCTTCTTCTCCTTGCTGATCCAGCTTGTGGGCAGTCCCTCGGTCTCCCCATGTACTATTGGCTGTGCATTGTACTTGATGATATTATGCAACTACCGAAGCACCTTAGAGAACAGGTTGTGGGGGCGCTTAGCTTTGAAGAAGAGATTAGGTAAGTAAGTCCTTTCTATCTCCTAGATTGTAAGCTCTATTGAGCAAGACCCTCTGTTTCCTCTTGTACCAAATTGTATTGTAACTGTAATGTCTACCATAATTTTGTAAAGCGCTGCGCAAACTGTTGGCGCTATATAAATCCTGTATAATAATAATATTGATACCCTAGGAATAAAAGATCATTTAACCCTTGCAATGTAGGAGGAGACCCATTGCAAGGGGAGATGTTTTGTTTTCCTGGAGTTTAAGTAAAAGGAGCAGCATCATAGCCAGAAAACTAGCAAGTTCAGAAGCAGATCAGAAGTTACCTACATATTTCTCTGGACACAGGTTTTCTTTAAAACCATATCCTGTTTACCCAGCTGACATGGAGTTCTTCTTTAACAGCGACCCCACTTTTGCAATTAAAGTGATGTAATCACATGTGTAACCAGCGTTTTAAAAACGCAGCTTGTTTTCAAACACTTTTCTTTTTATTCAACGAAAAAAAAATCTTTCAACATAATTAGATGTTTTGCACGTCCCTAAAACATTTATAAAACACAAGGAAATCTATAAAAGTTCCAGTTAATGATTTGAAATCCTTCACTGCCCGAGGGAAGAACGCTCATCTGGCACTGAAGGGGTGAAAGGATAATTAAGATGTTCTTTTTCCTTGCAAGGTTAAGTAGTTATGTTCGGCAACTGTGAATAAAGCCATTGGGAATAGCAGCAAAGCGTATTACAGAAAAAAAAAATACAGAAGGAAGTGGATAAAAAGCTACTCTTAACCCAGCAAGTCTTCGAAAATGCAATTTCCGCAATGTGACCAAACCAAGCTGGGCCGGAACATTTTCGTAGATGGAATGATGCCGCGGAGGCCAATTGCGCAGGTCGCAATTGCTACGTCAGTGATGGAAATGAGGGAAAGATGCTGCGTCTGTGTAGGGTGAAAAGCAAAACTAGAGGGGTTGCTAACATGACAAAACAGATGTGTGGCGCCAGAAGGTAGCCATACAAGAAAACACAAACACTACGTTGTTAAGTCACACAAGTCACCGACAAAACCTAAAGAGGGAGAAATCTAAAAAAAAATTGTCTTGGATGTTCTCCAGCAGCTGAAAGGTGCAAACAAGCTGCCTAATACCCTTGTGTAGATTGAATTCTTATGAAGAAAATAAAGTTTATTGTCTGGAAACAAAGAAAGCATGAGAAAGGCACTAAAGCAATGGAGGTGAACAATTAGACAGATGTTCACTTAAGGAAATAAAGAGAACATCACTGAAGAATTTTTACGAGAATACTGACAATTCCGCACCTCGTCAAGGGCACGGGTAAAGTTAAAGCCACTGAAGCTGTTTCTATTTAACTTCCCCATAATTGCTGAACTTG